TTCACTATAGTCAGGATAAAATAATAGTAATAATAATAATTCAGTTCTATAATTAGCGTATCTTGAAACTTTTATAAATTTGAGGAGTGTTATAATCTTCCCTCCTTAAAAATATTCTTCCTCGAATGTTGCTAGGGTCTTATTCTTAAGCTAACAATCATTCCTTAGGTCCTTGAACCTCTTAAGTTTTTCTAGCACTACTCACTTTTCCAAAGGACTCAAAATTTTGGCTAACTCCCTAAATTTTCAAAAATTTCGGTAGAGTTTCCCTTGTAAATTGGACTATCCAAAAAATATACCTGTCACAAATACCACAACTACACCACCAACAACCAAATATACCATAACAGGCCATTCATAGGCACCATACACAACTCATAAATTAATTACTCACACTCCGGCAAGGAGGTACCACAATAACTAACAAGAATCTAAAGCACAACACTTTCGCAAAAGTAAATCACTTTAATGAATTAAATATACTCTGGCATAAACTAAATCACTACAACAATTAAATATAATCTAGGAAGGACATAAACACTTGCTAACTTGTATTTAATAAATAAAATATAAATGTCAAGCCAAACGTAGGTTTACATACCTTGTTACTCAAATAAATAAGGATACTTCTTCCTCATATCTTCCTCGACCTCCCACGTAGCTTCTTTTGAATCATGATTACTCCACAAAATTTTTACCGATGCTATATCTTTTGTTCTCAACTTCCTTACTTGTCTATCGAGAATTTCTATAGGTACCTCTTCATAAGTCAAACCTTCTTTAATTTCTATGGTATCGGCAGGTATTATATGCGACTCATCATGAATGTACTTTCTAAGCATAGACACATGAAAGACAGCATGAACAGAGGACAACTCAACGGGTAGCGCTAGCTTATAAGCCACGTTTCCTTTCCTTTCTAGAATTTCATAAGGTCCGATAAATCTAGGGCTAAGTTTCCCTTTCTTACCAAATCTCATAACTCCTTTCATTGGTGAAACCTTCAAAAACACCTTATCACCAACCATGAACTCTAACTCACGATGCCTCTTGTCAGAATAAGACTTTTGACGACTCTGAGCCGCTTTAAGTCTTTCTCTAATTAGCTGAACTTTCTCCAAGGCCTCACAAACAAATTCTGGACCAATCAACGGCACCTCTGCTAGTTCAAACCAACCCACTGGAGACCTATATCTCCGCCCATACAACGCTTCATAAGGAGCCATACCAATGCTGGCCTGATAGTTGTTATTTTAAGCAAATTCTATAAGTGGCAAGTGATCATCCCAATTACCTCCAAAATATATAACACACGCACGCAGCATATTTTCGAGAGTCTAAATGGTCCTTTCTGCCTGGCCATCGGTCTGTGGATGAAAAGCTGTGCTTAAATTGACCTTGGTACCTAATCTTTTCTGAAATGCCTGCCAAAAATGCGCTATGAACTGAGGGCCTCTGTCAGATATGATTGAAACTAGAGTACTATGCAATCAGACTATTTCTTTGATGTACAACTACGCATACTGCTCTGCGGAGTCTGTCGTCTTTACTGGTAGAAAATGCGCGGACTTTGTCAGTCGGTCTACAATAACCTAAATTGAATCATGTTTACGGTATGTGCGAGGTAGACCTACTACGAAATCCATATTAATCATCTCCCACTTCCACTGTGGTATCTTTATGTCTTGAGCTAGGACACCAGGCCTCTAATGCTCGGCTTTGACTTGCTGACAATTTAAACATTTAGTCACATGATCTGCTACTTGTTTCTTCATGCCTTTCCACCAATACAACTCTATCAAATCTAGATACATTTTGGTAGAACCTAGGTGGATAGAGTACCTCGAACTGTGAGCTTCCTCCATTATGGCCTTCCTTAGACCATCTACATCAGGCACACATAACCGATCATTCAACTTCAAAACTCTGTCACTTCCTAGAGTGAAAGCAGTGATTTCTTTTGTTCTGACTCCTTCTTTTAATTTCACTAAGTACGGATCTTCGTCTTGTTTAGCCTTAACATGCATAACAAGGGAGGATTGTGCTAAGGCATAAGCAGTTATATCTCCTTCTTCGGTCTCATCCAATCTAATTCCATCATTGGCTAGTTTTTGAATTTCTCGACCCAAAGATCGCCTTTGTACACCAAGATGGGCCAAGACACCCATTGACTACTAAGTGCATCTGCTACCACATTAGCTTTGCTCGGGTGATAGAGGATATTGATGTCATAATCTTTCAATAGCTCGAGCCACCTTCTTTGTCTCAAATTTAGTTCATTTTGCTTGAAAATGTACTGGAGGCTTTTGTGATCTGTAAACACTTCAGAATGCTCGCCATAAAGGTACTGTTGCCATATTTTTAATGTAAACACCACTGCTGCAAACTTCAAGTCGTGTGTGGAGTAGTTCTTTTCATGATTCTTTAACTGCCTGGAAGCATAAGCAATAACTTTTCCATTTTGCATAAGAACACAACCAAGGCCCACTCTGGAGGCATCACAATACACTGTGAACCCACCCGAACCTGTCGGCAAGGTTAACACAGGTGCAGTGGTCAACCTCTTCTTTAACTCTTGAAAACTCTGCTCACAAGTGTCTGACCATTGGAACTTAACTGCTTTCTGAGTCAACTTAGTTAATGGAGCTGCAAGTGAGTAAAACCCCTCTACAAACCTTCTATAGTAGCCAGCTAATCCCAAGAAACTCCTGATTTCGGTTGGCGTTGTCGGCCTAGGCCAGTTCTTGACTGCTTCAGTCTTCTGAGGGTTTACTTTTATTCCTTCACTAGATACCACGTGACCTAAGAATGCTACTGACTGCAACCAGAACTCACATTTTGAAAACTTGGCATAAAGCTCATTCTCCTTCAAGGTCTGCAAGGCTATTCTAAGGTGTTCTGCATGTTCTTCCTTGCTTTTAGAGTATACCAAAATATCGTCTATAAACACGATAATAAAGGTATCCAGGAATGGCTTAAAAACTCTGTTCATGAGGTCCATGAATGCAGCTGGAGCATTTGTCAACCCGAAGGACATTACTAGAAATTCATAGTGCCCGTAGCGAGTCCTAAAGGTTGTTTTAGATATATCTTCTTTTCTGATTCTCAACTGATGGTACCCCGACCTCAAGTCTATTTTTGAAAAGTACTTTGCACCCTGAAGTTGATCAAATAAATCATCAATTCTTGGCAGTGGGTACTTGTTCTTAATGGTAACTTTATTCCGCTGCCGATAGTCGACACACATTCTGAAAGACCCATCTTTCTTCTTGACAAACAGGACCGGGGCACCCCACGGTGAAACACTCGGTCTGATGAAACCCTTGTCAAGAAGGTCTTTCAACTGTTCTCTTAACTCATTAAATTCTGCTGGAGCCATCCTATAAGGATGTATAGATATGGGTTGAGTGCCTGGCATGAGATCAATACTGAAGTCTATGATTCTTTCGGGAGGAAGTCCGGGAAGGTCATCTGGGAAAACTTCTGAAAATTCTCTAACAACTGGCATAGACTGAAGAGTTGGTGGTTCTGATTCTGGATTAAT